GTTTAAAGTAAAAAAATAAAGACGACCATTGAGGGTGGCGGCAATGGTGCCTAGCAATGGGTGGCAGTGTGATTGGCTTCAAGTGGCAGCAACCGCCAAAGGGAGGGGAAATTATTGGGTCAAGTCACTGGACGTGTTTGGAGCCCAAATGAAAATGCACCACATCACCTCCTACTCAGTACTGAACAATACCAAACAGTACCGAGCTCGATACTGCTCAGTACTACTCTATACTCAATACTTCACAATACCAAGCTTAATACTGCTAAGTACTGTGAATACCAAACGTAAGTTGTATCCAATGACCTGACCCAATAATTTCCCCAAAGGGAGTGACTAGTGATGGCGGTGGCTAGTGGAAGGTGGCAACAATAGTTGTCAATTGGGTGGGGGTACAATGATCGCTAACAGGTGACGATGGTGGGCACCAATCAAATGAATTTGCTTGAGATGTTAACAATTTTCGTTCAAAATTAAGAAAACTTACTTCAAAAAAAAAAAGGATTACATTTACTTTACTGTACTCCACTTTATATTCCAACCAACCACGCATTTTCAAAATCCTTACATTTCAAATACTTTATATTCTAACCAACCATCCCCTTAAATAATTTTATAGTATGCAGAAGTGCATAATTTAAGTTCAATGTGTTCTTAATATACGTGCTTCATCTCATCAAATAAATTCTTATCCCAAATATTTGAATATATGTCAAGATCCAAAAATTATAACTAAATTTAAACTTATTTGCATACTTTTTTAAGATAAATGAAGCATCAATTATGTGTAAAAATTACCAATATCTGTGTAAAATTCCTAGAAGGGAGTAAGCGTAATAAATATATATATATAAGCCACATAATTGACCTGTTGCAAGAGGGCCAGCATTGAATGACCGTAGTTCACATAAATGCAACAAAACATTTCCATTGCTGTGGAATATAATGTCTTCGATTAAAAAAACATAGTAAACATATTTAAAATAAAAAGGCAAAAAACTAAAATCAAAGCTTCATTCAGATATAATGTGCGAACATTTAATGTCTGCTTCTGTGTTGGAAGTTTCAGCTTACTATTAGCAAACAAAGCTTTTTTTTTTTTTTTTCCTTTCCACAGTAGTAAATATACTAAGGTTTCATTTGAGACGGCTTTCTTACTGTTTTTTAAAACAGCTTTCTAATTAAAAAACTGATTTAAGAAGACGTAAGAAATCTGTTGCAAACAAAGCCTAAGTAAGCGGTTATCACATTATAATCAAACACATGCTGTACGTATTATCGTGTCAAGGGCAACAGGATGTAATGTAAGAAGCCAACTCTTTTTATAGCAATTAATTAAAAGAGTTCACTCTTTAGGGCATCTCCAAACGAAAATCTTATTATTCACTCCAAAATGCAGTGAAACTAAAAAATATCGTGATTCATCTTCAATCAAACGCCATTTTACCACCTAACCGTCGCTCTCTTCTTTCGCACCTTTCTTCCGCAAATTCAGTAGAGACAAAAAAATGACGCAGATAAACAATGTGCCGCCAATATTGACTTTGCACTGTTCATCTACGATCAAATGACAGAGAAAAAGGCGATCGGTTGCAACATTTGAGGGCCTCCATTCAGTTGTTTGACAAACGGTTGGAGATGTCCTTACTCTTCAATAAATAATGAAAAAACAGCTACCAGTTGGATTTTACAATTAAAAAAAAAAATACTATCAATTGGCCTCCAGACTCTCTACTCTCTAGGTACAGACGCACGTAGATATAAATATTTTAAAATCCTTCTTACTGTGGCACAGCAGTTTGACAATTAAAGGTACGTTCTACGCTACAAAGTCAAAATGCAAATAGATTAAAAAAACAAAATGTTTTGCAAGGGAGAAAAAAAAAAAAAGAAGAATTGTGCCAATGTATTAATTATAATCCGCAAAGTTATGAGATTAGAAAATTGATCAGACTCAGTTTATTTTTTTATATTCAACAGCAATTCTTTAAAGCATTAAGAGTTTAATTTGTTAAGGCTTTGCTTGGGACTGCTTTTTTACTGCTTCTTAAAGCGATATTTTAAACGAAGCCTAAATTACGCTAAAGCTTCGTTTGAGACGGCTTTTTAACTGTTTCCTAAAGCAAAACTTGCTTTAAAAAGCAGTAAAAAAATCGTCCCAGATAAAGCCTAAATCTCACTATAACAAGAAGGCTCAAATATTATACAAGCTGAATACATTATACTACCATGGAAAATGCTCATATATTATTTGGCAATTAAAATCGAACTGTTCTCCACACCAACTAAAAAACAAAACAAAGATGTGTCAAAGTAAACATACTAATAATTGCCGTAAATAAATTTTACCCAAATGAAAATTTACGGCACGGCCTATCTTCGCAGTCACTAAATGCCAACGTTTAAAAAACTGACAACAGAAACCTGTAGGAGCATTCATATATTTCATACAAGCTGACACAGCATTCATTAACACCATATCTGCTGCATTTACTGATCATAATTCTGAAACATGAATGCCGACAGATTGAAGCAATCTAACAATTCAACTAGCCCCCCCCCCCAGCTCCAACCGGTCTAGCCTAATTTACGAATTTTTATTCTATGCAAAGTCCGGATATCATCCGGAGACCAACAAAAATGCACCACATCATTCAAAAGTGTACCGCGCTTGATACCGAGCGTGGTACTGACGCTTGGTAACAAGCGCGGACCGGACGGTTCTCCGGTCCGGTGTCCGCACAGAATAATCTCTCCTAATTTACACAATGTTACATAAGTGAGAAACTTACGTGGAGTCTTCATATTCTCATGGTTTAGCAGTGGGTAACATGATTCCAAATTTCCAATCTTAAGCAAGACTTTATAAGAGTTCAAAAGAACAAACAAAATACTCCTGTAAACTTGTGGACAATGATAAAGGTGGAATTTGCTGCATAATTGATGACTCTACAGTAAAACTTAAAGCAATGAATGACAAAGCATTCATTCCAATGGAGATATGGCATGTCTGCCCAAGAAATATGAGAAAAGTTGTCATGACTGGTAAGATTCTAATGCCGCCGTGGCATGGTCAAAATCACCATTTTGACGGCATGTAGCTAGCATAATCTCTATTCAAACAAGAATGTAAAACATAAAAGTATCAAATATCTGCTTCAGAAAAGTTCATACTTTATAACTGTGTACTCGTAAGAGATTTGAATTAAAAGATAAATAGAGGTAAACCACAGGATGATGGCTCACACAACTGTACCTACTCTTCTATAAAATACTTCATTGAGTACAATTTAACAGAGACTTTGACAGTTTTATGAAAGTTGGAGATTCATAAATGGCGCCTGTGATAGCTTCCACCGCTACTTATATTAAAAAAAAAAAGGTTAAGGTTTTGAGAGTTACCAGGCCCCTCTAGAAAGTTTAAAAAAATTTTACATTACACACATCTATCTCAATGCATAACAGGTTCATCACTTCAAATTATTTGCTAAAAACTTGGGATTACATAAAACTTTTTTAGCAATAGTTGCAGCTTTATGTTTCTACAGTGTAAGTTCATTATTTATCCACAAATTCCATTTACATCCTTTTTATTCACTAATACAACATCTAGGCATCATTATTGCCAACTTTCACAATCATATAATGAATCTTTAGCTGAGAAAATGGCCCGCATAACATCAAATTGGGTAAGGAAACTTGCTCACAAATACTTGGCTGGTCTTCAGGATTTGGCCCTCTAAAGAAAAAGAAACATGCTTCTCAAGCCAACATTTCTTAAACCCTAAAATCTCGAGATATATTCCTCATATTATTTTACTTTATAGTATGTTAAATACATCAAAAAATAAATAAAAAATAAGTGCTATAAGAACATGGCTTGGTAAGTATTGCTAGTAGAAAAACCAACAACCCAAGGCCAAAGACTGAGCAAGGCCAAGCCGAGATACCAGCCATAAAACAGACGATGTTGCATAACAGTTCATTGCTTTTCTGTTTAACAATCTAAATTAACAAACATCGAATTTGTGTATGATTACACAAGATAACATGCAAGAACATTGTCACAACTACATTTGACGGCCGAAAGATTTCTGGTAGTCAACAAAATGAGATATGAAAAAAAATATATATATATATATACAGATGACAACTTACTCGAGGATAGTAGTGAAGCTGTTGCAGCTGCTAGAATTGACCTACTTCATCATTAGTTGGAACTGAACGTGAGATGGACATTTAGGCTTCGTTTGGGATGGCTTTCTTATTGCTTCTTAAAGCAGTTTTTTAGTTCAAAAATTAAAAATTTTGTACTAGGAAGCTATTTTAAGAAGCAGAAAAAAAAAACCGTCCCAAACAAAGCCTTAGATGATAAACAGCAACAGAAAATTATTAATGGCAAGTTTTTAGCTATTCCGCTGACTAAAAATGGAAAAAAAAAAAGCACACCAGCAACACTAGCAAGCCCATGAACAACTAGTGACCCACGCAAGCCACATATGATCAATAGCATAGTATCAAGGTCAGTGGAACAGTTTAGCTGACCAAAGAAGCGCAAAGTTTTATCGGAAGTGGACAAAATCTATAGGAAAATTGAACATCATAACGCATGAAAGAAATCTGCATGGCTTGGAGTTATTTCATTTAACCATATTTATAACATGGTGTTTATGTATGAACTTCATTGAGCGTATATTGAGTATGAAATTGGATGCAACAGTTAATTTTCAACTAGGGCCAATTTGTTTCACATTAAGTGCTTGGAAGGCTTTGGATCTCAGCTCCAAAAAGCTAATAACATTAAATTTGCAGTGATAAATATTTGTTAGGAAGGGAATTGGTCTTTTTTTAATCCATTCCATTATTTTTATTACTAGTTGTTATTATAAATAAGTAATATTCTAACCCATCATATCAACAATTATTATTATTCAATTGCTCCTATCATTCAATTGCAATTAAAGTTAAATTTTGTTATTATACATTAACATTAATATATAGTTATTAATATGTTGTTTTATTTTATATTACATTGAATCCAATGTTAATAAATATGGAGAGTTGAAAATATATATTATGATTGAAGAATGTTTAGAAGATGACAACGAGTCAAACTTCAAGGATGATATAATTATTACATATGAGGGCTATTGGAAGAATATGAAAGTAAGTATGAGGCTGCCGTGGATTCTAATCTTTATGGTGTATTTAAGTATTAAATGAATATTTACTTTGAATCTCCTTTCAAATTTTCATTTTATAATAACATTTAATATTGTGATTTGTAGTATATATCTTTATACTTACGAATTAAATAAATATGTTGATATTTTATTTCATTTTTATGAATTATTTGTAAGTTCAAGTGTTTTTTATTTTTCTGTTTTTTAGGCTTACGTCTCGATCCGCCTTGAGGCTTAAGCCTTGCCTCGCTAAATAAAAAATGCCTCAATTCCCAATTTCGCCTTTTTAAACCTTGATAAATACTTCTTCAATCATTTGATTCATCAAAATTCTACTAAAAAGTGTATTTATTCAAATCATTATAATACATCATCATCATCATTAATCTTATCCAAACATTCAAGGTGTTGTTATAAATCCTAATTTTGTTCATGTTAGTACTAAGGTATTATACCTATTCTTTGGAAATCATTTTGAATTTATATCCATATAATCATGTCTCCTCTTAATTGAAGCATTTTCTACCATTCATTACATATGTCCTAACCAAACGACCTATATTGATGTTCAATCACCTAGTTTCCAATTAAATGTAACTCAAACATCTCCTCTAATAAAATGACTCCTTAATTTATCCTTCATCATTTTGCCACGTATCCTTCTCAAAATTCTCATTTTACACACTCAACTTAAACATCAATGACATTTACAACCCAACATTAGAATTCATACATTAACAATCTAATTGAGGTTCATAAAATTTACCTTTAAAGCCATATGATATTCTATTATCATATAAAACGCCTGAGAAACTTCTCCATTTTGGGTATCCAACATTAACTCTGTAAGTAATAACCTAGTCTATATATGCTCAAGCTATTAAGCCTATCACATATAGGTATCACAACACCTTGAAATATAGTTTTGTATTATAAAGGAGAGTAAAACCATATGTTAAAAGAAGATAATAAAGAACGTCGTTAGCAAGTCTATTGCACCACCAGCATAAATTTGGAGATTGCCAGCTAGGCCAGAAGATTAGTGACTCTTTGTAAGAGTTATGGAACCCTCTTCCTTCATGAAACTACATTAACATTTATCTGATGGGGACATCAGAGCAGGGAACGTATATCAGAGGCGTGGCCAACATCTGCGGCCACGATTACGTCGATGTATTTTTGAGTTATGTCATGTATTTGTTTTATTATGTTATTTGTTATTTATGTTGTATTTATTTTTCCTGTTTTTACCCCTTAAGGAAAGTCGTTTGTAAGCCCTAAGGGCAAGGTCTTCTTTTATCTTTGAGTCCTTTTGTTCGAGGCTATTTATAGCCCTTATGTTCTTCTTCTAAAGTTAATGAATGAATGAATGATTATAAAAAAAAAATTCAGCATGTTACTTTCTTGTGAGAGCTTGAGGACTAAGGAGAAGGATCCCTAGGAGAAGGAGAATCATGCATCACCCGCCAACCTAGAAGAGTCGGGTTCGTGTTCTTAATTTTCTATCTCTTTCCCTTCACCGTCCCACCACCAACACTGGCCCTCTTCACCCAACCGACCATGTTTACGCCAAAAACTCCACCTTCACCAAGCTTCGTTCCCCTTACTCGCCGAGCTCCACATACATCCCCACCTAACCGCTGGCCCCCATTCCCGAACCCAAGCAAGCCGCCGGCCCTTGATCCCTTTCCCCTTGGAGTTCCATTGCCTATTTTAGATTGATATAATTTGGGCAGATTTTGAATTCAAATTCATCCAATTTGAAATTTAAAATATTTCCTAAATTAATAAATCTATTTTAAAAAAGTTTCCTAAATTAAACTCCATTTGAATTTCAAGTTAATTGGAATTCCTTTACCACTTTCCTTCTTTAAGTCAACATATTTTTGGAAAGGATTTGAATTTGAAATAAATCAATTTTAGATTTCAAATCTTTCCTTTTCTCTTAACCCTATTTTTGGAAAGGTTCTTATTTAAATCAATCAATCAAATCATGATAGATTGATTAATTAAAGTCTTAATTCCAAATACATTGCATCTAAACACTTGGCCCCTCTCTTTCTCTTGGCCGAAATTCCCGAAGGGCCCACCCCTAAATTCCCTTTCCAAAATTAAACCTCTTTCTTTGGAATTAAATCCAAATTCAGCCTTAACCGCCCCCTCTCTCCCCCTCTTAGGCTATTCAAATTCTTGCCAAATTAAAAGGACTTTGATTTGGAAAGAAATTTCAGCCTTCCCACCTAATTTTCCCACTCCAAACTTTAAACCTAATTATGAAATTCTGAACCTAATTCTTCTCCAAGTTTCTTCCATTGGCCAGCCACCTCCCATCCTTCCCTCCACTTGATTTCTTGAGAGAAAATTCTCTCTCAAGGGGATTCTTCAAGGCGAGCCAAGGATCATTACTTTCAACACTTCAACGCGTGGGAGAAATTTCATTTTTTCCAATTGAACCTTCAAAGGGAGCTACAATGAACATCTTCAACCTCTCAACTACTTGTTTCCGGGTGTTGATAAGGGTGAGCTTCTTTCCTTTTTTAAATTATCTTTCTAATCCCCTAATCTTGTAGGTGATGACGATTCACAAGAAGCCAAGCCTCGCCTTTGCCTAAGCTAGTAAACGTAGGGTTTTGTTTCGCCGTTGCCCAAAACCTAATAAGCGTAGGATTGAGTGCACCTCATTTGTTTATAATCTTATTGTTAGATTAGGGATTTTCGTTGAAAGCTATTATATTTGCATGTCGTTGATTTTCATTGTTATTTTGATAATTCAAAGCTCTTATTGTGCAACTTAGCTTAAACGGAAGTGACCGCTCTTACGTTTTATTTTGTCGTTTTTATTTGCTAATAGTTCTAATCATTATTATTCTAACCAATAAGTCGTGCAAGTTCTTATCAAATTATTTTAAACATTGTAGTCCCACATCATTATCCCAACATCTTTCAAGCAGGAGTAGGGTGCTAGAAGAAGCCATCACGGACACAAGCCAGCTACCATCTCCAGCAATCTTCCCAACCTAAGAAAAACTAGAAGAAGCAATATTTTTGTCATTCCAGGCAAGCAAAAGTAACACCATATGCAAAAGTAACATCAACAGAGGGAAAGGACTAAAGCAAATAAGAAACAAAACAACTTAGAATTTATATGGAGGCCAAAAAAGATCCAGACAACTCACAACCAATATGAGGTCAAAGTTGAAGCAAAGGACTCCCTCTATCTCCAATATTAATTTGCAAGAACAAATCAGCCAAATGGTCTGCCCTAATATAGAAGGCTCTTTTGGAGTTGGGCTTGGTTAACAAGTTATCTAAGTTACCAAAGAGGATCAAGATGATGTGCCACACTTGGGCTAATCTAAACACAAATTAGGTTTACATCTAGACATGGAGACTCTCAGTAAGTGTAAACTGAGCTTGAATGGGAAATGGTTAGGTTTAACTTCCACGTATTCCATAGGAGCATAACTAACTACACTAGTGTCCCAGGCTATAAATCAATAATTAAACATGCTTATCACCTTACTCCCCCCTTCACCATATGTTCACTATACTCCATGCATAAAGAGAAATGAGTAGAAATAAGCTTGATTATAAGAATTTTCCAATTTTGATGCTTTTATTTAGAAGTTGAATTAAATTAGTAGTTATCTTGAGACTATAAATAGATCCTTCGATGTAGTTCATTCTCATGGCAATTTTAAAGCAATAAGCTCTGAAACTCATCAAAATACTCTCCATAGTCAACTAACCTCCCTCTTCCCCTATGCATTTCACAAGTTACTTTCCCTCTACCCAGAATGAATAAGGAAAATTACTAATATGACGAAAGTAGAAACCCCACCCAATCCAAGAAGAAAATCAAGGAAGGCATCCCCAAATTACTCTAATACTATCTCATAAGTTCCTCAAAACTTAATCACCTCCTGCATTCACAAAAAACCTTCACGCAATATAGCCTTGGCCAAACCCTACCAAAGAACCCTATAAGTTCGCATGGTATTTTGTACGAAGACATTTTCTAGAACCTAACAGTCCTAAATTTGGATCATGCTGCATTGACGCCATAATTAAATGATAACTACGAAAATTAAATCATTTGATTTCTCCTTATTTCCCACCCTTCTCTTTTACGCATATCAATAAATCAAATAATGCACTAAACTACAACGTTTTCTCATAATGTCAGACCTTGGGTGGGTTCTGTATTTTAAACAATGAACAAAATTAATGAGATAGATAATTATTAAAAAACATTTTAGGGGCATTTTTTTATCATCCATTATAATCTCTCTTTTTTTTGATAAGAATAGAGAGGGAGTTGAAGGTAAACTTGAATTATGGAGGTCAACCTTAGAGTTTAAAGGTTTTCGCTTGAGTAGATCTAAAACGGAATATATAGAGTGTAATTTTAGTAGTAATAGACCTAGTGAGAGGATTGTGACTTTGGGTGATCAAGTCATTAATAAGAGTACACGTTTTAGATATCTTGGATCTATTGTTCAGAGTGATGGTGAAATAGATGGGGATATTATCAGCAGAATTCAAGTTGAATGGTTGAAGTGGAGGAATGCATCGGGCTTGTTGTGTGATAGAAAAGTACCCCTCAAACTTAAGGGAAAATTCTATAAGATAGTGGTGAGGCTGGCAATGCTTTATGGTGCCGAATGTTGGCCATTAAAAGAGAGGCATGATACTAAATTAAGTGTGGCAGAGATGAGGATGCTCAGGTGGATGAGTGACTTTACCCTTGGAGATAGGATACGAAATGAGCATATACGTGAAAAGGTTGGAGTAGCTCCAATAGAAGATAAGATTAGAGAGAGTCGCCTTAGATGGTTTGGTCACATAAAACGGCGGCCTTCCTACGACCCGGTTAGGAGAGTAGAGGTATTAGATTTGACTTATGTTAAGAAAGGTAGAAGCAGGCCTTAAAAAAAAACTTGGTTAGAAAATATTAGGAATGACCTTTCTTTATTAGATTTAAACGAGAATTTGACTTTTAATAGGACACAATGGAGAAAAAAGATTCATGTTGCCGACCCCACGTAGTGGGATAAAGGCTTGATGTTGTTGTTGTTATTGTTGTCATTATAACTTATCTCAATATTTCTTTGCATAAAAGTGGACATGCTTTCTTAACAAAATCAAAGGATTACTAAACACATTGGCATTCATCAATATGGTAGATAAAATAATTAGATAGCAAAACATTTGAAATCACTAATTTATTCTGGTAATGAACAGACTTTCAGGTACTTCTGTAGTGTATACAAAAATTCTATCTGTCACCTTCCTTTAAGTTAACTACCCATCTTATTGGTGCATCCTACATCCATTGTAGATGGCCAAACAACTAAAATATGTTTGGCAATCTAACCTTAATGATACTCCAACAATCCCATTCATATAATCATTTCACAATATACTAACTAATTTTACTATATATCCTTTTTTAATATCATCATTCTACCATACATAAGCAATCAGATTTGACATGTATTAAAAGTAGAGTTACCCGTAAGAAAATTCCATTATCAAATGAAACTCAAGCGACAATGAATATCACTAGTGTGCACAAGGGTTATTAAAAAAATTGGAGATTTCAAGGAAGGCATAATTTCTGCAGTTAGTTGCTTGGTAAAATGGAAATGGGCCTCAAAAATAGAATTCATAGGAGAGTATTAGGGCATAAATTTATAGAAGTTGAAATTAGATTTGAATAATACAAGGATCCAAGCGTTGTGCAATGACAAAGCCATTGATGGCCAAGTTGTATGAAGAACTAATAAGGTTAAAATAAGAAATGAATTGAAAAAAAAGAAGCTATAAGTAGTATCAAATGAGGAAAATAGACTTGGGCAGTATAGCATGTACAATAAATGGTAAAAGATAAACGAATAAGAATAGACAAAATAAATGAGAAAGCATTAAGAAAAAAAGAGACATGAAACAAAAATATCAAGGTTAGATGATGTGCAAAAAGAAATTGAGCAAAACAAAATAAACACCCTATGTAGCACAACATAAATGAATAAAAAGACTGTGTAAGACTAGTCCCAAATAGTTGGGGATGTAGTTAATGGAGATGATAAAATTTAAGGTAAATTACACCCTATATGATGCACATACACAGACATGGCGACATGGATACGACATGAAATAGACACGGGACACGTTAATTATTAAGAATGTAGAACACGGACACGGGTTGGACATGGTATTATATTTTTATATTTTAAAAATAGTGTATAAAAATTGAATAAGTATAATATTAAAAATAATTTAAAAATAATAAGTCATTTAATTAGAATATGTGTTTAAAAGGATAAATATTAGGATGTCGAGAGTCGGGCATTAATGTCGTGTATCAGACATCGAGTGAGGAGACGATAATACTGTCGAGAGTCGTGCATTGTTGTTATGCACTAAGTATCGGGCGTCAATGTCAAGAGGGAATCTATCATCAATGTTAAGAGGGAGTAAGTTGTCAATGTCAAGATGACGTCGGACAAAGATGAGTTGTCAATTATGGGTATAGAAATTGCTAGTGTCGAGCATCAATGTCAAGACAATGTCAGACTTTGATGTTGAGATGCTTTTGAAATGTTGATGTTGTAACAACGTCAGACATCGATGTTGAGATGTCATTGGGCCTTATTGTGAAACAAAAGTCGCAAACCTGCCAAATAGAAATGAAAATGAGAATATTCAATGAATTGGGTATTGAGTGCGGTTCATTGATTTGGTGTTGTAAAGAGGAAATAAGAAAATTAATTTTTATATTTTAAATAAATTGAAATTTTAAAAACAAGCAATTATATTAAAAAAAATTATAAATTATTTAAAACACGTGTCCAATTTGTATTTAATATTTTTTTAATCAGACATGTTTTCGGCATGTCCGACATGTGTCGGAGGAGTGACAGACGCATATCATGTCGGATACGTGTCAGACACTGCATACCTCTTTGAGTAGAAGTGTCGGTGCATCATAGATTACAGCCAAGGGGTTTACAGGCTGCTTGACATTAGTGAGATTTTTTTAAACCTTACAATTGGGTCCCTAATCTTTGATTATATGCAAACTTTATCTTGGTCCATGGTCCAGAAGGATAGGAAATATACCCATAACGATATATAGACTAATTGTGGAATGACTGAATAAAATGAGGTAGGCAAAAAATAATATGGTTAAAAGATGTCAAAAATCAAAATTTAAGCAGAATGAAATAAATACCTTATGTAGCACTCAAGAAAAATGAATGAAAAGGGTTTATAAGATGGCCCAAATAGTTGGCACATAGCTGATGAGGATACTACTACTAAAACAACAACAACAAGCCTTAATCCTACAACCATATAGCAAATGAGTATGCTGACAAAACATTCAGGTAAATTATATCAAGTCTCCTAATGCCATGGGGTTGATAGAGTCACATCTTTTTAAAACTCTTGGGTCCTTAAGTTTGATTATGTGTTTCATCTAAGTACACCCCTAAACGATCCATTAAAATCCTTCATATTCCTGATATGGTATTCACTATTAAGATGAGCAATGAGATCCAATTGAGACAATTTAACAAACACTAGGGAGTAGATTTCCACACCCTGCACTTCACCAATCGTAAGCTCCAACAAACTCGTGGCTGTTGTGTTGTATAATAAGGCAAACAGAGACAAAGGAGTTTCAGGAAAAGGGAAATTTTTGCAATATGTGAGTCTTTGCTCCAACTAAAATTAACACAAATCAAGCATTTTCATAGGCGACGTATTTTTTCAAGTTTTCCTGAGGATTTAAATAATTATGACTTGGTTCAAAGACCTTAAGCTATTATCTTTTTTTATGTTTATCTTCTTTATCAGTAACTTTAGGTTTGCAGATATTTCAAAAACATGTGTAAATGTAATTGATGATAGTTAAATTATGGTTGTACTTCTTACTTACATTTTAATTTTGGATAGCTAATGCATTCATATTTTTAGTTTATTTTTGTTTAAATGTATTTTGAAAAATGTTAGTTGTGTTT